GCACCCTACCCTGCCCTGCTAACCTAGCTGTACCTACCCTGCCCTACTGACCCTAGCCAGTAGGGTAGGGTAGGGTTCAGCTAGGCGAGCAGGGCAGGGTAGGGTGCATCTGGGGCCAGTAGGGTAGGGTAGGTACAGCAAAGGCTAGCAGAGCAGGGTAGGGTGCAGCTGGGGCCAGTAGGGCAGGATAGGGTACAGCTAGGGCCAGTAGGGCAGGGTAGGTACAGCTAGGGCCAGTACAGCAGGGTAGGTACAGCTAGGCTAGCAGGGCAGGGCAGGTACAGCTAGGCTAGCAGGGCAGGGTAGGTACAGCTGGGGCCAGTAGTGCAGGGTAGGTACAGCTGGGGCCAGTAGTGCAGGGTAGGGTACAGCTAGTACAGCTAGGCCAGTAGGGTAGGGTTGGTACAGCTAGTACAGCTAGGCCAGTAGGGTAGGGTTGGTACAGCTAGTACAGCTAGGCCAGTAGGGTAGGTACAGGGCAGGGTAGGGTGCAGCTGGGGCCAGTAGAGCAGGGTAGGTACAGCTAGGCTAGCAGGGCAGGGCAGGGTGGCCCCAGCTGCACTACTGGCCCTAGCCCTGCCCTCCCTACCCTGCCCTGCTAGCCTAGCTGTACCTACCCTGCTCTACTGGCCCCAGCTGCACCCTACCCTGCCCTGCTAGCCTAGCTTTACCTACCCTGCTCTACTGGCCCTAGCTGTACCTACCCTGCTCTACTGGCCCTAACTGTACCTACCCTGCCCCGCTAGCCTAGCTGTAACTACCTTGCTCTACTGGCCCTAGCTGTACTTACCCTGCCCTGCTAGCCTAGCTGTACCTACCCTGCCCTACTGGCCCTAGCTGTACCCTACCCTGCCATACTGGCCCCAGCTGCACCCTACCCTGCCCTAAGCTGTACCTACCCTGCCCTACTGGCCTACTGGTGCTGGACCCCCCTACCCTGCCCTACTGGCCCTAGCTATACCCTACCCTGCTAGCCTAGCTGTACCTTACCCTGCCCTACTGGCCCCAGCTGCACCCTACCCTGCCCTGCTAGCCTAGCTGTACCTACCCTGCCGTATTGGCCCTAGCTGTACCCTACCCTGCCCTGCTAGCCCAGCTGTACCTACCCTGCCCTGTTATCGTAGCTGTACCTACCCTAGCTGTACCTACCCTGCCGTATTGGCCCTAGCTGTACCCTACCCTGCCCTGCTAGCCCAGCTGTACCTACCCTGCCCTGTTATCGTAGCTGTACCTACCCTGCCGTACTGGCCTAGCTGTACCCTACTCTACCCTACTGGCCATAGTGTACGGGTCATTCCATATCAAGTGATCAAAATAAAAAATAAAATTTTCCCTTATGTTTTTCATTCTTGTTAGTTTTTGGTTTATTTAATATACACATAAAACCAATTTAAAATTTAGAAAAAAAATATTTTTATCTCCTTTGGTTTTTTTGTAATCTTACTTTAAAGTTCCAAAAAAAGTGTGGTTTTGCGCTTTAAGGGATTTACGTTTTATTTAATATCTCAAGAAAGAATAAGATAGAATAAGATAGAAAGGTAAAACAAAAACCATTCTTTTCAGGATTAAATTAGCTTTAATTTGATATACAACATGACAGTATTTAAAGTAATTAAAATTTCAACCCCCCAAACTCAAAATTTCAAAAGCCAATCCCAAAAAACGCATATGATTAAAAATTTTCAAAAAAATACCATGGATCCTTAATGTTATTAATAATTTATGTCCAAAAATTCAAGTTGGGATCTCAATGGGATCCATATTAAAATAATTTTTTTGTATAAGCCTGCAATGTAAATAGACAAGTCGTAGGCTACAGGGCTAATCGTTACATTCATTAGCTACAAAAATGTCTAAGTAACGTAACATACAATAAAAAGCTCAGTTGTACAATACAAGTACAGTAAGCCTAAAGTGTCTAAAATTTGGTAACTTCACTTTTTAAATAAGATATCAATTTCCTTTGATACAAGCTTCTGTGAGGATGAAGAGCAAGTTAACCCAGATTCAGAAATAATTGCGGAATTGAAAGAAAAATTTCAGAAAACTACAAAAAAAGTGAGAAGTTCTTGAGACTTACAACATTACCTAAAAGTTGGACTGTGAAAAATTGAAATCGAGTTTGGTGTCAGTAATAGGATGGCCAGAAGAGCTAAATCGTTAGTTAAAGAAAAGGGAAATAATGTCATGTCCAGACCCAAAGCCAGGAAACACTTTGGACCAGAATGTTGTAGATAAAGTCAAAGCTTTTTACAACTCTGATGATGTGAGTCGAATTATGCCAGGCAAGAAAGATTTTGTAGTGATGAAAGTAAATGGATAGAAAGAAAATGTGCAAGAGAGACTGGTTTTATTAAATTTAAAAGAATACTTTGAACCGTTCAAAAAAACAGAATCAGCTGTGAAAATTTTTTTCTCAAAGTACGCTGATTTAAGACCGAAGAACTGTATCTTGGCTGGGGGAAATGGAACTGACTCTGTTTGCGTGTGCACAACGCACCAGAATGTAAAATGAATGATTGTCGGAGGAAAGCTGAAAAAGGTGAAGATTGATGAAGCTACTGATCTTGGCGATTACAAACAATGTTTGTCACAAATAATGTGCCAAGAAAATACCCCTGACTGCTACCTAAACAAATGTGTACAATGTCCAGGAGTATTAAAACCAAAGAACTAAAACTAAAAGAAGTACTTCTGAACCACTTTGAAGAGGGGATGATAGAGACCATCACATACAAACAATGGGTTTCTGTGGATAGGTGTACATTTGAGACATTTTGCGAGACTGTAGAAGAATTTGTGGACAGTTTTTGTGAACAGCTTGTTGAACTAAAGAATCATTCATTCATATCCCGTCAGCAATCCAAGTACTACAAAGATTTGAAAGAAAACATTCAAGAGGATAAAGCAGTTGTAAGTTTGGACTTTTCAGAAAACTACTCTTTTGTGGTCCAAGACGAGGCACAGTCTTTCCACTGGAATAATAACCTCTGAGCTACTGTGCATCCATTTGCTGTTTATTACAATGAGAAAGGAGAAATTAAGTATACAAGCTTTGTAATAATATCAGAATGCTTGATTCACGACTCGGTAGCAGTCCATTTATTTCAATTGATATCTTATTTAAAAAGTGTTAAAAAGTAAATTTTATTACGGTACCAAATTTTAGACACTTTAGGCTTACTGTACTTGTATTGTACAACTGGTTAGGCCTATAGACTATTAGCTTTTTATTGCATATTACATTACTTAAGACATTTTTTGTAGCTAATGAATGTAACAATTAGCCCTGTAGCCTAAGACTTGTCTATTTACATTGCAGGCTTATACAAAAAAATTATTTTAATATGGATCCCATTGAGATCCCAATTTGAATTTTTGGACATAAATTATTAATAACATTAAGGAGTAATGGTATTTTTTTGAAAATTTTTAATCATATGCGTTTTTTGGGATTGGCTTTTGAAATTTTGAGTTTGGGGGGTTGAAATTTTAATTACTTGAAATACTGTCATGTTGTATATCAAATTAAAGGTTATTTAATCCTGAAAAGAATGGTTTTTGTTTTACCTTTCTATCTTTACTCTTTCTTGAGATATTAAATAAAACGTAGATCCCTTAAAGCGCAAAACCGCGCTTTTTTTGGAACTTTAAAATAAAATAACAAAAAACGAGATGAGGTAAAAAAAATTTTTTTTCATATTTAAGCTTCTTTTGCATAGATGTATCTAATGTAAAAAGATCAATCCTGTAAAAAATGGTGAGGTAATTGGTATTTGATCACTTGACATGGATTGACCCGTACTTTACTCTGCCCTACTGGCCCCAGCTGTACCCTACCTTGCCCTACTGGCCCCAGCTGCACCCTACCTTGCCCTACTGGCCCCAGCTGCACCCTACCTTGCCCTACTGGCCCCAGCTGCACCCCTACCCTGCCGTATTGGCCCTAGCTGTACCCTACCCTGCCCTGCTAGCCCAGCTGTACCTACCCCGCCCTGCTAGCCTAGCTGTACCTACCCTGCCCTGCTAGCCTAGCTGTACCTACCCTGCTCTACTGACCCCAGCTGTACCCTGTCTTGCCCTGCTGGCCCTAGCTGCACCCTACCCTGCTCTGCTGGCCTTAGCTGTATCCTACCCTGCCTCGCTAGCCCTACCCTGCTGTAGGTACGTAGCTTTACCCTACCCTGCCCGGCTGGCCCTAGCTTTACCCTACCCTGTCCTGCTGGCCCTAGCTTTACTCTACCCTGCTCTGCTGGCCTTAGCTGTATCCTACCCTGCCCCGCTAGCCCTAGCCCTACCCTGGCTAATAGCCATAACTGTATCCTACCTTGCCCTACTGACCCTAGCCGTATCCTACCCTGCTCTGCTAACCCTAGCTGTACCCTGCCCTGCCCTCCTGGCCCTAGCTGTACCCTACCCTGCTCTAGCTTTACCCTTCCCAGCCCTACTAACCCCACCCTGCCTTACTGACACCAGCTGCCCATTACTGTCAGGTCCCTTTATTATTCCTTTGCCCTACCAGCACATGCACCCAACACTAATTGATCTAATTATAAAATGCAATCATTAACACACATTAATCCGTGATAGTGATATGTACAACTTACAAGGAGGAGTCTGTTGGAGAAAGACATCTTCAAGAGGCAATTCTCTGACAATTATATCCATCCGCCTAGATGGGGTCCATCTGAGCTGAGAATACCAGTAGCATTCAGCGTAGTTGAGCCTGGACATACATACATCACAGCTGGAGTTGCAAAATACATGCTGAATTTATCAGGCTTACTTAGCCTGTTACATAGCCAGTTACATGACAATCTATACTGAAATTTTAGAGTCTTCAATGTAGTATGAGCTTCGAAGTTACAAATCTCATAATGCATAGAAACCATTTTGAGTAGTTCCACAATGCATTACTTGGTTCAACTTGGTTCTTGATACTTTAGTACAACAGGTACTATCCGGTACTACCGGTTTCATCTTTTCCTGTACTGTTTCAGGCTATGAATGACACTCCTTGGCATCTACAGCTGTTACACCAATCTCAATTCAAGGAGACAGCTCCTAGATGTGGTTCGGGTTACAGGGTATGGAACCACGCGCTTGAGGAGCGAGTGGGAGGATCACTGGGCAGTGCTTGAGGGGATACTTGGACAGAACACAGGTTATGACATCTAGGATTCAACAACACTCAGTACCTCCAAGTCTAACATGCGCCCCTACGATTGCCTTAATATTACAACCAAGCAAGAATATTGTATATAACACTAGTGTGAATAAAATGTGAAACCAACCTAAACAGTTGTCCTGACTGAACCTAGTTGTGGATGAGGTTATTTTAGACTAAGTACATGAATAGTAGCATTGACTTTATATCTCTACACTAGACATCTTATCGTGTACTAAAATCTGTCGCCAACGATTTCAGCCGAACTAGTAGAGTAAACCCTCCATGCAGTGTCGCTCCTAGCGGCCGTGGCTTGAAACTCGATCCGGCTCCACCTCCAGTGCTGCGCGCGCACTCGTAGTGGCATGACGTAATCGACGTGCCCGTGCGTATACCTCCCCCCACAACCACTGCCTCTCCTCTCACCGTACTGCCAGCCACAGAAGGCCCGGCGAATGCGCTCTGCTTATCTTTGCAACACGCCACCGGTGTCTCCGAGCCCAAGCATTGTGGTCGCTCGATCGCATATCTGCTAAACTTACCTCTTTAAGAGTACAATTAATTGGTTATAGTTTTACACTATGTAATTCCCAGGTAGTTTATACATTATTATAAAAACTAAGGAAGAACCGTTTTGATGTAAATAGAATAATGATAAAATCAAATTTATTTACAAATATAAGCTTGGTAACTGTATTAATAGAATAAATACTGAAATTAGTGTGTACTTTTATAATGGCAAAAACTTTTATAGGACATCTATATATTTAATACACAGTTGTAAGTCTGTTTTCTCAGTGACTACTGGACCGATATGCAAGATTTATATGTTAAATTAAAGGGAATAATGCGCAGATTTGCTGAATTTCCTTAGTGCAGTATATACGCTTTTCAAACGCCCTTCAAAGGGCGAGTAATTACAATTCTTATTGAAGAATATGACATTAGTTATAAGTATAAACCATTTGTCAGATGTGAGATATTTGTTATTACTTTTATAACAGAACCATCGAATTAAAAAAGTAAAGAACTTTAGAAGTAATGGTGTTAAATGTGCTCTGGGAATACCTACAAAAACACTGACTTTTGAATTGCGATCGTTTAATTGCATTTGTCCTTTGTCAATAGGCCTACTGCAAATCTATGAATTTCGAGACAGAACCGACTAACAGGGGCACAAATACATTGTCCTCATGTTGTCCCAAGGGAAGGTTAAATTAGCTCCTTATCAACATTCTGAGCTCTTGGAAAATCTTATCAACTACCTATATATTTAATACACAGTTGTAGGCCTAAGTCTGTTTTCTCTTTATGTATAATCATGAGTATGGGATGTATGGCTACATCCAATGTAAAAGAAACAAACACAATTTCGAAAAACTATTTTAATAATATAAGATCATACAAGTATATACAATTTGTAATTGTGAGTTCTGCTGAGTCTCAACCATATAAATCAAAATCTGATTTTCTTCTTTTGGCTCTATCTTTTGATAATGGTTCAATAGTGACTCTTTCAGTCTTTCTAGTTTATAACAATCGAAACCCGCTATTAGCACACAGTTCGTAAAATACGAATACAGTAGTAAAAATAATACTGGAACAGTAATTAAAAACTGCCTTCAAGGACGACACTTGATGGCCATAAAGAACACACAGGGATGTTTGTATATTTATTGAATGTTGAAACATGTTCGCTAACATTAAACCTTTTATCAAGCCAAATATATTTTGTCGTTTCAAAATGTATTATCTAATAATATTTTTACAAAGGTATATATTTATTTAAATTTAATTTTGAGAACAGGAATCGCAATAGGATAACGCGTGAAACAGTTTTGGCGGGGGCGAAGAACCTTCACCTCTACGGCGCATGCGCATGTCAAAACTCTTGGCCTTGAGACTATTTTTCACCGCGTTGGGGGTGCGAAAACCACGTTCTTCCCTGGTTCTATGTTCTGTGACAACACTGCTGACAGTTCCGTTCTTGCGTTGTTGCGTTGTTGTATTGGTTACCGGTAGCTGTGTATGTGAGTGATCCTACAAAGATACATTACATCGTTCTCTGTGAGTCGTAGTGTTTTGTTTTACGTTTTTCGTTATAAATTACGTCTACATCAGCACATTGGATTGGTATTCTGCAATGGATATTAGCATTGTATTAGGTAAGTTATTGAGTGATGATTATGTCATTTTGTTGGAGGGATGTCTCAAATCATCCTCTAAATACTATTTTACAATACACAGACACTCTGTTTTCCTTTTTTAATGGTATGGATGCTTAAATATTGTATGCCATCAAGTACATTAGATTTATAAATAACCATATTAGGCACCATATTTAGTTCTGAAGTCTTTTTGGGTTTGTTGAGCTTGCCGTTTAATGCTGAATAGTACTTTTCTCATTTTTAAGAACAGAGAGCAAAGGTTCAAGTAATTTGTTAAATTATAATAAATAATGCATACAAATTGGCAAATTACCGACGTTGTGAGGACAACCTATTGTTACTAGAGAATGGTCTTATTTGTAATAATTGTCTGTTTCCAATCATACAATTTATATCTACTAGAGCACCCGTGCGGCTCAATGAGCCGCATAGTATGAAACATAACTCATTGAACTTGAGGCATTTACTGCTCTTCCATTAAAACTGATTAACTGTTTAACTTGGTCTTAACCTACTGAATATTACAAACATTAATATTTACTCAGCAAAAGCTAATGAGTTTCTTTTTATAAACAGCTGTTTTTGTTTTTAAATTTGTTCTGTGTATTTCTTATGGGGAAAACCCGACCCTTAAGAGGGTCTCACGCCCTTAAGAGTAGGAATTTTATAATTTTCAAACCTTATTGCAAAAATACATATTGAGACAAATCTTTTGACACCTTAAACGTTGAAATTGGTCCATAAATAAGGGAGGAGTTGCGTTAACAAAAAACGGCTTCACGTATTATACAGGGTGTTTTTTTAAAAACTTGCATCTTTATTTATGTAAAAACCGCAATAGATAGAAATATGCAGTTTGCAGTAATCATCTATTGACGTAGGGGGACCAATTGTTTTGAATTCAACGTTACATTCACATTCCCCCCCTTTCCCCCCCTGCCCCCAACTTAATTTTTTTTAAATAGCAAGGTACCCCTTGTGACATATCAAATTAAAGAGCATGAAAAAAGAAAATGTTTGATGAAAAAAAATTGAAAATCGGTTCATAAATTTGTGAGATATTCCCCCCCCTTACCCCCCCGGAACTTAATTTTTTTTTTTATAGCAAAGTACCCCTTGTGACATATCAAATGAAAGAGCATAAAAAAAGAAAAATTTTGGTGAAATTTATTTTTCATTTGATATGTCACAAGGGCGGGTACCTTGCTATTAAAAAAACAAGTTATGGGTAGGGGAAAAGGGGGGTGATTATCTCATAAATTCATGAGCCGATTTTAATTTTTTTTTCACCAAAAATTTTCTTTTTTTATGCTCTTTCATTTGATATGTCACAAGGGGTACTTTTCTATAAAAAAAAAAATAAGTTCCGGGGGGGTGAGGGGGGGAATATCTCACAAATTTATGAACCGATTTTCAATTTTTTTTCATCAAACATTTTCTTTTTTTATGCTCTTTTATTTGATATGTCACAAGGGGTACCTTGCTATTTAAAAAAAATAAGTTGGGGGCAGGGGGGGAAAGGGGGGGAATGTGAATGTAACATTGAATTCAAAACAATTGGTCCCCCAACGTCAATAGATGATTCCCGCAAACTGCATATTTCTATCTATTGCGGTTTTTACATAAATAAAGATGCAAGTTTTTAAAAAAACACCCTGTATATATAGATAGATAGATAGAGGATATAGATAGATTTGCCATTGAAAAAAGACTGAAATAAAAATAAAATAAAAAATATATTGTTAGACTTTCTCTTACACAAATTACGTTCATTTCAGACGGTAAAAATCATTGAAGAAATGGCCTCAACGTCAGCTATTACTACAAACTCAGTCAAGGAGCAAAAAGGGTCTTATCATAGGTGCTCTTTTATTGGATGTGGATTAACACAACGAAAAAACCCACATCTGCATTTTTTCAGATTTCCCACAAGTAGGCCAAATGTATTGGAACAATGGCTGGTCAACTGTGGCAATGAAGATCTAATTGCTCTTTCGGATAAAACTTTGCATTCGAGGAAGGTGTGTGAAAAACATTTCACAATAGAAAGTTTTACAAACCTTACAAAGAAATATTTGAAAAAGGACGCGGTTCCTACATTACTGTGCATTGGAAATGATGAACAACAAGAATTGCATGACCCGGCTCCTCAAGAATTATCTTTACCTTCGATTGAAAACAACACTATTGTTTCTCAACAGTCTCCATCTATTGATACCCAAATTCAACCTCAAAAAAGTCCCTCACCGGCCTCTCCAACAACTCCCAACACTCCTCAGTACAAAAGATTTAAGAGTGTCAAAAACAGAACACCAACACCACGCAAACAGTTTTTGACTCCAGTGAAGAGGAGGCTTTTGTTAAAGTTGAAGTCGTCAGAAAAGAAAACAAAGAAGTTTCAAGCCAGAGTAAGGCGCATGAAAACCAAAAAACAGACATTGAGCAAACAGGTGATTATCTCATCTTTAGAAGAATTGTTACCCCCAGCTGTGTCTAAATTCGTATCTATGCAGCTAAACCATGTCAGCTCTAAGAAAAAACAATGGTCAGAGGAAGAAAGAAAAATTGCTTTGTCCATGAGTTACATATCACCGAGGTATGATATTAATAATTATTATTCATACTTTTCTACCACCAGATTGCTATAGAATACAGTCACGTTTTATTTTTGATACCATTTAAAATATGCAGTCGTGACATTCTTAAAAAAATTGAATAGTACAGTTAATGTTACGTAGTAATATGGCTCTATATCTAACCTACTAAGTGTAGATATAAAGACAATAAGATAGTATAGTAGTTTACGCAACGATTGCGTTAAGTTAGTCGTGCCTTTAAAACTTCTACGCGTGTCGTAAAGGCTATTAACGCGAGTTGCGTACACTACTTTACCTACGACCGTTAATGCCGTAGTAA